TTAAGTCATTCAGGTTTCAAGTCGATAGATCGACCTACCATCCTAGGAACCTACCTAGCTACTCAACCGAACTTTTCTAAGTTGAGCTAAGGGAGCTCCGATCTTTAACCAAGATATGCAGAGAGAAAGGGGGCCCTCACAATTGATCCTCACAATCGATTTTATGTGTGTCAGACATGCCTAAAAAATGGTCCATGTCGACTGTCGTTTCAAAAATCAGACTTTTCGAGTACCCTTTCCTTCAGATTCCGTGGCAAATATTGTCAAACGGGGGACAATACGAGTGCGGTCCCACACAGGTGAAGCGCACCATAAGAGAGTTAGCCCAAATGAAGCCCAAGTGAGGTTCCATCCTGTAACGCAAAATTTCGTATTATTGAATTAATAAACACGAGAACTTCGGACAAATGGATTTCAACGGATCAAAAGAAATATAGTGGATTACAAATCTCTATTATTCCTCTGATTAATTCCTTCAAGGACGATCTTCAAATAGACTTGAGACTTTTGGAGACTAATCTTCAGTTTGATCTCCGTCAGTCTTGAATATGGATTTAAATAACGTTTCTTCGAGGGCTTGATAGCTTGATCTCGAATCGAACGTTGAGATTTCCCAAGAACGTGAAGAACACGAATCCTTGGTCTTCGCCGCAAAGTTGATTTTGATCTTCTCTACGCCGGTCTTGACTTGAATAACGTAATTCGGAGGCTTAACAACTTGTTTCCGGATTAAACGTCGGTTTTTGGCTTGAATGCGCTTGAATCTTCCTTCGGGTCTTCAAGAACGCCTTTGAATCTTCAAAACACTTGAACTTTAATAACGCAATTCGGAGGCTTGGCAGCTTGTTTCCGGATTGAACGTCGGTTTTGGGCTTGAACGTGCTTGAATCTTCCTTCGAATCTTCAAGAACGCCTTTGGATCTTCAAGAACACTTGAATTTTGAGGAGAGAATTCTCTGGAGCTCTTGAACTTGGAACTTGAATATGAATTGTGATTTTTCACCTTAGGGAGGGTCCCTATTTATAGTTGTTGGGAGAGAGAGTCTTGGAAAAGAGGACTTCAATTTGATTGGTCCATAATTTCCAATATTTATCTCTTAATAATTATTTAAAGAGATAATTAGGAGAGAGAGTCTTGAAAAAGAAGACTTCAATCTGATTGGTCCATGAATTTCCATTTATTTATCTCTTTAATAATTATTAAAAGAACTAAATATTTATTTTACTCTCCAAGAAAATGACATGTGACATTCTTTAATTGGCCTTCAAAATATACATGTGGCATTCTTTAATTGGCCAACAATATATATTAAATAATCAATTAATTAACTATTTAATTTAGAAATTAAAATTTGATTAATTTCCCAAATAAAATAGAAAATTATTAAAATGATTATAAAATAGAATTTGACACTTGTCGCCATTTTATTGCTCAAAATTTGATCGTCTACAAATGCCCCCTCGAGACTTGTTCACGGACGACGTGTCTTGGAGTGAATAAGTCACGAAATTCGTTGGCTTGAACATTGGGCACAAGATATCAACTTGCAAAATTTTAATAATGCTCAAAATTTTAATACTTGGCCCACGTGAAATAGGAATGCTTTAAGCCCTCATTCAAACTCCATCAACCCACTTTCACTTGATTTGGCCCAACTTCAACCATTATGATGATAAATTTGCCAAAATGACTTTTTTTTTTTTTTTTTTT